AACATTTCACAGAACACAAGGCCTGCATTTTTACAGAGAGTTTTGTAACATCCGAAGGTAACATTTGAATAATATGCTGAAAAACAGTGGCTTCATGTCAGCAGGTGGGAGCCACTAATTATCTTATCATATTGGTCGCCGGAATCGCCACAGATCGTGGTGAATCCAAAAATGCCCAATGGGGAGCAGGGGGATCCATCACCCCATGTCCTGCATCACCCAATTTACACTTAATCCCATCCCACAGGGGGAAGCATCCACTGTTCACTTTCCCCCATTATTGCTAATGCAACATGGCTACCACCACGGCATATGCCAGTTCCACTTTAGTTTAGCCACAAAATCCCGCCAGAAGTAGCTATACATTGTGGGATGGAAGTTGGTGGGTTCTGTGGCTAAACTGGAGAGGAGTGTATGCCGTCAAAGGAACTGGCGTATGCCGTCAAATCCAGTCCCATCTGATGAGGTCGATAGTCAAACCTGTCCACTAACCCCTTCCCCCAATGTTACATGGAGGCAATAGGTATATGGGTAGTATTAGTGTTTACAATCATTGGATTTCTCTGGAGTCCATTTTGGGATAAGAGGGAAATCACGCCTTACTCTGTTATCAGAGTAACCTTTGAGAAATACCGTTTCTTGACCAGATGTATTAGAATGGTCTATCTTTGTACTGTATTTGTCGTAAGTCAATGATCTTTGTCAACACTGTTACATATCTATTTGCACTTTTTATCCTGTACCATCGAAATGAAAAAATGGCAAAGGGAGAGCCATGTCTCTGAACAGTATTCTTCAGCCACCTTTTGCTGATCAATATAGTCAACATCTTCAACACAATCGCTGGAGGACTCCCTTGGTTGGTTTCCAGTTGGAACAGAAGTTACTGGTACCAAAGGCTTCTCTTGTTTAGGCTTTAGTGAAGTTTCGACTACCAGCCGAAGGTGAGCGGCTGGAGGACCTTTGCTACAGACTTTGGATTTTAGGATACCTTTGGGGTCGTCACAAATGTTCTGCTTCTTCTTCAGAGACCTTGTGATTTGTTTCCAAAACATCTTCTTGTTTTCTGCATACTGTGGACAGGTGGAAGGCTTACCGGAAAATTCGCAAGAGAAGGTGCTTTCCTCTTTTCTGCAATTAATGTTCAAGGTAGCCATTTCAGCTTCATGTAGTGTCCATGTGCACGTAGCTTTGTCTTTGGTGGTAAACTTGCCTTTAGGAGAACCTTTTTGCCCTCGTGTTCTCTGACCCCTTTCATTCTGGTTATTGGATCCAGATTGTGGTCTCTGACCTTTTTCACTGTTCGGCCTTTCTTTTTTTCTCTCCTTCTGTCTTTCACAGTCGACGTGCAGCAACTGAGAGAATATGATGAAGGTGCAAAGAAGAGCAAAATGTCTGAATTTCATGGTTCCTAGTTCTCCGGAAGCCTGTTTTGGAAATATAAAAGTAACTTGTAAAAACCAACTTCATTTTGTTTATAAATATTAAAATGGAAATAATCTACCATGAAATAGAGTCAAAGATTTTATAATGGATTATTATTATTATTATTATTATTATTATTAGGAGCCCCTGATGGTGCAGCGGGTTAAATCGCTGAGCTGCTGAACTTGCTGACCGAAAGGTTGGCAGTTTGAATCTGGGGAAAGGGGTGAGCTCCCGTTGTTAGCCCCAGCTTCTGCCAACCTAGCAATTTGAAAACATACAAATGTGAGTAGATCAATAAACACCGCTTTGGTGGGAAGGTAACAGCACACCATGCATTCATGCCAGCCACATGACCTTGGAGGCATCTATGGAAAATACTGGCTCTTCGGCTTAGAAATTGAGATGAGCCCCACTCCCCAGAGTCAGACACTACTAGACTTAATGTCAAGGGGAAACCTTTACCTTTTATTAGTGTCCCACATAGGGAAGGACACAATAGTGGACTTCTGCACATGAAACCAGGAACTCTAGCAGATTTGGAAGCAAAAGATCCAATTTGGCACTTAGCTTCCCCTTAAAAGTGGCATTGTGGGGACTAGGAAACCACCTGATCTAGTTTTTGGCTGAAAAAAAGAATAAATAAAAGTGGGAGAAGAGGACCATTGTTACCAGAGCAACATTGGATTAAACCCATAATGATGCAATTCAAATATGAGGTTTTAGAAATGTACAAAATAAATTTCCTTTTAGATTTATTTCATATTTCAATGTCTTATTGCAATGTCAGCAAGAAAAGAATGGTATCAGATGGTCATTTTGATTCCAGGTGGAAGTTTGAAGGGCACTTTGGATACTTTGAATAATTCACATGAAAATGACATCAGTTTCTAATGACTGCTTGGAACTGACTCATGTCTGGTTCCTTATCTGATAAAGATGTAAATTAAGTATCATTCCCTAA